CTCCCCCTCTCCCCAGTCGCTGATGCCTGGCTGGGCTGGCAGACGCCGAGGGCAGCAGCCTGCGGTTGCTTTGCCCCATGGAGAGCAGGGAGCACGGGGGCTGCCCGGTTCGCAGCCCCGGCCCAGAGGCTCGAAGCATTTGTGCACTTGACCAAGGCAAAGCAGAGCCCCTTTCCCTCCCCTTCTCCCAAATTTGCAGTATGTTTGTTTGTGTTTTTTCTTTAGCAGACAGCTCACAGTGTTTACAATTATATGAGCCTCCCCCAATCAGTCATTAAATTAGCACCTTCTCAGAGACAGATATATATATAATATATATATAATTTATAGAGAAATGACTTTTGTAAACAATATTCTTCTACTCCAGAAGGAAGTGTAGTCCGTGGCGTAATGCAGCTACAAACACGTATCTCAAAAAGAGGACCGGCAGCTCCAGGGAGTGGGTGGGAGCTCTGTGCCACCCCCAGCCTCCACGCGTGTCCCCAGTGGGATGGTTCTTGGGTGGGGAGGGAACCGGCTGGCTCGGTTTGGGTGTTACCAGTTTCAGCTGAAGCAAACCGGTCCGACTGTGAAACCAAACTGGTGCGAGGCGTCGCCGTTGTGAAAGACGGCCAGGTCACGCAGCGGCAGCAGGGAGAGCTCCTCCGTGGTGAACTGGAAGATGGTGTCGGTGATGGAGGACTCGTTGTCCAGCTGAAATGAGCACGAGGAGCAGCTCAGTGGCACTGAAGGACCCTCTCGGAGCACCCACTGTCCGCTTCGCTACTCTGGTTGCTCCATGATGCACCCAACAGCCCTGGGACATGGCCAGGTCTCCAGCCCCAGCCCTTTGTGGCTCCTCCAGGGAGGTGGCTTTCCCCGTGTCCCATGTCCCCACCACATCCCAGCTCCCCAAGAGCAGGGCAGGTCCTTAGGCCCATGGAGAGGATGCTCTCCATCCCCATCCCGCCACGTGAACCCTCATCCCCCAGGTCTAGCCCAAACCCTGGGGGTGCAAATACATGCCGGGGGGTTCTGCAAATATCAGGGGGCTCCACAAATGTCAGGAGGCTCTTCCAGGCACAGAAAAGGGTCCAGCCAGGGCCAGGCTTACCTCGCAGCCTTGCAGGCTGGCTGCATAGGTCTGCTCCCGGGAGTCGGCCAGGAAGCGGATTTCCTTCTCCAGCTGGGGCTGACCCCGCTCCGGGGC